TGCTTTTAAACTAATTTTCTTCCCTCTCCTTGTTTGCTGCAATTGCTTGACTCCCTTTCTCTCAACTGTGGTTCACGCCACAGACATTAGTTCCTTGGTCCACGTGATTCTCTGTGAGCCTTGACAGAGTAGCCTTATCCTGTTTGGACCCGATGATCACATACGTGCACATCCTAGATCGCGATCAGAAAGGGGAACTCCGGCTAATTCTGCTCCCACCAACAGCTAACTGAGTATGTATTAGGATTTGAACCAGCAACCTTCAGTATGGCTTAATGCCCACCAGGTGGTGCATTTATCCATTAGACCAGGAGTGGGCAAAAGATGGCCCATGCGCCATATTCGGCCCGCCAAATAATTCTATCCGGCCCGTCATTGCGCCTAGTAATAGAAAAAATTATAGTTTGTTTAGTCCCAGGAAGTCACACAAATTTCGCATTTGAATCTGACTGGGAACATCAGCCAATCACACTGCTTAGTTGTGCGCACGCTCCCTTAAGTGTTGAATCAGGCTGACGTCGGAAATGTACAGATTGAAAAATTTTCAAACACGCATGTGTGGCAACCATGGCAATGCTTTTCACTGAAGAGGACGTTAAATCGAAATGAGTTTATCAAAGCGGAAAGTCGACGCTGAAGGCCGAATATTCAACAAAGAATGGATTTCTAAATATTTATTTTTACCAGTGTGGGTGGAAAATAAAACAAATAAAATAAAATACATTAAAAAACAAAATAAATAAAAAAAATAAAAAGTGTGCAGTTACAAAATAAAGTAAGCAATTTTGCATATTTTTCACTGACACTCGATGAGAGTTGTGATGTCAAAGACACAGCCCAATTGCTAATTTTTATTCGAGGTATCACCAAACATTTTGAGCTCACAGAAGAATTGGCATCAATGCAGTCAATGAAAGATACGACAACTGGAGAAGACTTTTTGGAGGCAGTAAATAAGTGTATCTTAAAATTAGGAGTGGAGTGGAAAAAATTGGTGAATGTGACCACCAATGGAAGCCCAAATCTGACGGGCAAAAATGTTAGGCTACTGAAAAGAATTCAAGATCAAGTCAAAAGAAACAAATCCAGAACACAATACTATTTTTCTACACTGCATTATCCACCAAGAGGTCCTCTATAAGAGAGTTCTAAAACTAAGCAATGTCGTGGACACAGTTATGAAAGTGGTCACCTACATTTGAGCAAGAGGATTAAACCACAGGCAACTTGTAACTCTGCTTGAGGAATTGGAATCCGAGCACACGGATGTTCTGCATCACACAAATGTAAGATGGCTTAGTTTAGGAAAGGTCTTGAAAAGAGTATGGGAACCGAGAACAGAGATTGATTTATTTTTGGGCATGAAACAAAAAGATTTGAATTTCCAGTGTCAAGCCATTTGTGACAAAATTATCTTATCGCGTCAGATAGGAAACAGGCTGTTCGCCCACTTTCCAACTTTGCAGCAGATTACTGTTTGCGATCAAAGCCATAAAACTTGACTTACATGCCAAATTTTCTCGCCGATTCCAGAATTTCAATTTGATCGAAAATGACCTATCTTTGGTCTCTTCAGCTTTCTCATTTGATGTTGACAAAGCCCCATTTGACCTCCAACTCGAGCTTATTGGCCTGCAATGTGATCCATTGCTTGTGGAGCAATTCAAATCAGTGCCGTTTCCCAGTTTTTATGCCTCTATTAATGCATGTAGCTTTCCAAAAATAAAGGCTCATGCCCAGAGGATACTTGTGCTGTTTGAATCAACATACATATGCGAGGAGACATTTTCTGTGATGAAATTCAATAAATCAAAACATAGATCTGTGGTGACTGATGACCAGCTTGCAGTAGTACTCCGCATTGCAACAACGGAGATCATATCTGGTTAACGCATATCAGCGCTTTCCTTCTTCCCATCGATTGAGCTTCTCACATTCTTATCAATATGTGAATAAATATCGAATAAATGTCTGCTCAATGAGTTGTTTTTATTTAACCTAATTTTAATGAATGTCAATTATATAGACTTTATTTTGTGCGTGTACAAGTGTAAGACTTGATTTTGAGCTATTATTAAGCATTTGCATCTATATTAAATGTGTGGCCCGTGAAGCTTACCAAAACTCGTGAAATGGCCCGCCAGCCAAAATAATTGCCCACCCCTGCAATAGACTGTTAGAAAAGATTAGAATGTAAAACTATAGAGAAGGCTGGAAATCTTCGACCCAAGAGTTTTGAGAATTTCTATTTTCTCCATTGGAACTTTTTCCATTGAAAAAAAATTCAATTTTAAGTTAGTTTTTGGGTATATTATGCATGCATTTACACCTTAAATACCCAGTTGATCCGTTGACCATTCTTGCCCCTCTTTTGTGCTTTGGTGAAAATGACTTCAATGATGAACGTCCAAGTTATCATGCTTTATGTGTTACCTTATGCAACCCACTGCATTTCATCAGCAGAGGCTACAGTAATGATTTGTACAGTAGCACAACTCTGAACAAAACACAAAATACTGCAGATGCTGGAATCTGAAGCAAAAACAGTGAGCTGGGAAAACTCAGCAGGTCAGGCAGCATCTATGGAGAAAGCAAAGTGAGTCAACGTTTCGGTTCCACTTCGTCAGAGCACAACTCTCTGAGTTGGTCACAGTTGAATTAGTGTTGCATGCATTTAAAATGAAAGAGGATGGTCATCCTCAAATCAGAAATTGGATGGATCAAATAAAGCTTTATATTAACAGAACACGCATATAACTAATCATTGCATCTGACTGAAAAATACTGAAAAGTTATATTGTGCACAGCTTCAATAATATTCACATTTTGGGTAATTGGGTTACAATACATCAGTAAGGTATTGATTACATATCAAGGCATTAATGTTTCCATGTGTACTCCATTATTTGGATTTTGTTCCCACATCCATAGCAGTAACTGTCAGTTAGCGGTTGTCAGTGTCATGCAGTGCTAGTCTTGTAAATGAATTTACACCAAATCAATAAATTCTAGCCATTTGGAGACTGATGAGTAATGTCATTTTTTTCGACAAAGGAAATATTGCAGCTCCACTAGCAATTAAGGTTGGAGACAGTGGGTTAGATTTTCAGCAGCAGGCGCCAGGGAAAGTTATTTTCCAGTAGTAGACTTATTTTAAGGCTGGCAGTAATGGGATTTCTTTATATAGTGAACACCGCTCAGTTTATTTCCTCCTCGTCGGAATGCTTCTGATGAGGAGGTACAGACGAGGCTTGGTGAAAGGGAAAACATTGACCAGCTATCTATTGAAGAAGCAACATTTAGTGTTTGATATTTTTTGCTCTCATGGTATTTGACAGTGATACAGCTCTTACCTCAGTGGTCTGGTTTACATGGCCATGCAGAACACATCATTGGTAACACCTGAGTCATCTGCATTTTTTGTGGATGGATATTCTGGATTTTTTCTGGAGAGGTCAGGAAGCATCTGTGCAGAATCCTTGACTCTTGGAGATGAGAGTTGGTGTGAAATCCCCATTAGGGTTGTAGATGTTGTGGAATAAACGGACAAGATAGGTGTACTTTCCTTGACACATTCTGACTGAGGAAAGTCTGAGAACAGACATTTAGTTTAAAATCTTCCTCTTTATTGGCATTACAAATGGAGAAGCCTGGAATTTCCAGTCTCCCATCAACGTATAAGCTCATCGAACACAATCAAAATGAGATTGGGCATTAAACATCCTCCCCAGCTGGCTTTCAGTAGCAGATTTACACAACTAAGGAACCTAAGCTGACATGCAGATGTCTCCTCTTTTGCTGCCAATTCATTTCTTCTTCACTAAAGACTATGGTATTTTGATAATCCAGCATTAATACTAGCAAATCCAGCAAAGTGCCTGGAGCAGGGTAAACTCCCTTTGTTCTGCCCGATGCTGTACCAAATGACAACTAATAAAAAAATAATATTTTTTATTATATCTCCCATAACAACCTGCTGAGTTAATGATATTTGTGCTGAATGTTTAGTGCTTTGTGTTCTGGATTTATATTTAAGAATAACTGGATTCAGACTACTCAGCCTCACTTTTAAATGGTCTTCACAACCAGCAGAGAGAATGGTTAAGAAGGATTTTTGCTCCATTGGTTTGATTTGTATGTAAACTGAGGGTTTTGAGGTGGAAATAACCCATTTTTGTGTGCTGATAACCCATTGCGTTTGCCAGTCAATTCACTTTACAGTATATTCCATGAAGCGCCTTGAGACGTCTAGAAAACGTGAAAAGCGCTATATCAAATGCAAAGATTATTATTATTATTATTATTGCGCCTTCCAGTCCCACAAAAGGTCTGATGCTGAACACTTGTAATGGTTACACACAACAGATTTTATGTGTATGATAAGATAGTGATCAATTGTGAGCCTAGAAGAGTGGGAAGAGACAAGGTAGGGTCTATCATGCGAGTTGTGTGAACTCTGTCTATATTATGGGAGAAGTGTGAACGGATGTGCACAAATGAAATTACAGATATTCTCAATTGCCCAATGAATGAAAATAATTTCAGTTGTAATTCTTGTCATTGTTTATTTCCCTATTGAAGGATAACTTTAATTTATTTGATGTATCTGTCTTCACACAACTCGCACAATAAATTTTGGTGTGAAATATTTGGAAGAATAAATTACAGTTTAGCCTTGGAGAAAATATAGACCTTTGTCATGAATTTTGTATGAAAGTGTATTACATGTCTATTAAGTGCTTTGAGACATCCTCCTGACATGAAAGGCTGTATGAAGTGTAAATTGTATTATATCTTAGGAAAATTAACTGCTTAACCCCAAAAGTTTGAAAAAACAAACATTCTTGAGGTAAGTAACTTTTTTGGTAATACACCATAAATTTTAATCTCAATAAATTTAAAGAAAGACTAACAAAAATATACAAAGGAACATCTTACTGTTTCAGCTTTCAAGTAGCAAAACATGCGTAAAACTCCTAACCAGTCATTTTCTTTTTCAGAAAAAAGTTACCTTAAATATGTTTTTGGACACAATGCTGGCTGACCCTCCTCCACAGTGCCTGGTTGGTTACCACTGATGCACAGGCTTGCCAATGTGGAAAATGGTAAGTTTGGGATATCACATGTGATGGCAGAAGTTATTTGTTTCGAAACTAATTCTAGAATGAAAATTACTCTTTCTTCTTTTTCTCTCTTCCCCCACCCCAGAGGATCAGCAGCAACTATTTGATAACAATGCAAGAATAGTTCAATGGCTTTTATTGAGAAATATGCACATGTTTAAAGTGACAATAAACACAGATTATGACGAGGGCAATCCTGGAAAGAGTTTTTAGCTCAGACCAGTGCTAATCATTCTAGTGCAACCTGTCCAGCTCCCAATGAGAAAGTCTCCATTTCAGTTTGTTTCTGTTCCATTTTTCCGTCAAACGCATTAGACAAGGGCATTGTCTTTGAATTTTTTAAAACAAAATTATGGATCTTGCAGGCGCCTGGAAGATGATACCAGAGAAATTGCTAGACTTTGTTCTGAATTTTTATTGTTTAAGTCTGGCCTTAAACACGGCTAACAAAAATAACTTGCACTTTTATAGCATCTTAACACTTTGTCATGTCAAAGCGCATCAAATCTTGCGACTTTTTTGTAAGCAAAACATCAATTCCACCAGCAAGGTCCCATAATCGTAAGCTGAATGACTAATTGATTTGAAGGAGTATCAGTCTGGACATCAGGAGAAACTCGCTTCTCTTCAAATAATGTGATGGGAGAAAGGATAGGGAGTAGAATTATACTCTGGGTGGTGGAATTCTCCATCGAGTGAAGGACACAGAGGGATCTGGGGATACAAATGCATAGTGGGATTGCAGGTGGAAAAGGCTGTTAATAGGGTAAACAAGATATATAAAAAAGAGTTTTATATACAGAGCCATTGAATACAAATGTAAGAAAGTGACAATGAATCTGTTTGACTTTGATTAGGCTGCAGCTAGAGTACTGTGTGCAGTTTTGTCCACATTATAGAAAAGAATTGCATGAACAGTCTTTTATTGTTAAATTTACTGTATATGAAATGACAGAAAGGACAGATGGTAAACAGGGCAATTCTGGGTACATATGTTTAGCTCTGTGCAGCATAAAATTATTCCAAAGGACAGAGGGTGGGTGCAGTGTAGATTCATGAGGATGTTACCGGTGTTGAATGGATATATGAGGAGAGGCTAGAGAGGTTAGGACGCTGTCAGAGTAGAGAAGGTTGAAAGGTAATATGATAGAGGCATACAAGATAATAATCAAATGGTTTGGAAGAATTAACCGTGAACATTCTTTCTGCTAGTAGAGGATTCAAGAGCATGAATTCAACATTGCGAGTTGGGGAGTTAGAGGAGAAATTTGGAAGAACTTCTTGTTCCAGAGCGTTATCAAAATATGGAATGATTTGCCTGGGGTGTTGTTTGGAGCATTTGAAAGAGAATAAAACCTGCACGTTTAGAAGGGATTTAGAGGGTGTGGATAAAGAGCAGGAAATTAGGATGGATGGGTCCTTGGAGCAGCGAACACCAGTGTGCAAAAATAGGCTGAATGGCCTTCAACTATGTCCCGTGTTTCTATTGTTCTATGGATCTTAGTCCATTTGAACAGGCGGACATGCCCGACAGTGAGGCATACTCCCAGTTCAGTATTGCAGTTTCAGACTGGACTATGTGCTCAAGGTATGAGGTGGGGCTTAGTAACAAATAATATGTCGTCTTTGGAACATTAATTGATGTGGCACTGGGGCCTAAGCCAACTATATTATCTAACCCTTGACCCACGTGTATAAAATAAGCCATCATTGCAACAAAAATTTGTTTGATCAACCCATTTTCTCATTCAAGTCACATAAAATATTTACCAATGAGCATTTGCAAATTCACTCTTCTAGCTATTAAAAATAAATTGTCTCACAAAACTACAACAAAGTGAAAATAAATGGCTTGCACATCAGTACAAAGTGAAATAATACTTGAGAGCAATGAAATAATTTCTTGTTTAGATTATTTTCTTTGTGAAAAGAATAGCCACGGTTCATTATTTCTCAAATCCAAGTGTGACATTTTAATTCCAGTGGCATGTCATTTTTTTGACTTGTTGCAGTGCCGTGCACTGATTTGCTCATAAAGTAGACCAGGAGCAAAACGTACTTATGATTGCTGCCAAATGGGAATAGTTTACAATAGTGCACTGTGTGGTATCTATCAACACTAGTACATTAATTTGAATATCTTCATTTTGCTTACCAGTCAGAATTTCGAGAAAGTACTGCAAACAATGACTTGCATTTATATAATATCTTTTATGTTAAGCAACTTGGAGGGTAGTCTCTCGGAACGCTTAGAAAATTGTAGGACTTGATATATAATTGATATATATATATCAATTATATATAATTGAGGGCGAAACCTTGGGCAAGTTTCCTTACTCCACACCCTAATAATAATTCCTCTAAAACAAAACAATAATAAATTGGTCATTTTCAATCCACGACTGTTTGTGGGACACTGCTGCGTTTTGCCCACAAATATGCAATCAATTCACTTTACAGCATATTCTGTGAAGCGCTTTGAGACGTTGAGAAAACATGAAAAGCGCTATATCAAATGCAAGGATTATTATTATTATCAGAAGTGAATGTTTTAGGCCAACACAGTAACTGATCTGCATCAGCATCTCGGAAACAGTAAGAGACAATAATTTGCCCACAAAATACATTCACTACATTTTGCAGTAAATACTGTGAGGTACTTTGTGACATCCTCTTGATGTGAAAGGCGCTACATCAAAAACAAATATTGTTATTATTATTATGAAGTGAGAGCAAATTAATTTGAAGTTTGGATTAGGAACTTCATCGCACCAGTTCTGACCAAGCTCCACTGGCTCCCCATCCTAATGGATTGACTTTGAGATCCTCACACTCGTGTTCAACTTGCTTCACTCTCTGACACCTCCCTACCTCTCCGACCTCCTCACTCTTCAATCCACCACCCGGTGCCTCCGCTCGACTGGCACAGCCTCCTGCTCTTCCTTCGCACCCTCCACTCCACCTATGGAGGTCGTGCTTTCAGCTATTACGTCCTGAAACTGTGGAACACTCCCCCTCAATCCCCCCGCCTTGGTCCCTCTTTCCCCTTTTTCAAGTGCTGCCTGAAAACCTTCCCCTTCGGCCGTGCTTACGGTCACCTCTTCCCCCACCCCCCCGGCTCGGAATAAGGCTCCGCCACTATTATAAGTGCACTGAGACACAACCCTGCGTGGAGGGAACTATAGAGGTGCAACTTGTTGTTGTAGGAGGGAAATTGTACCAGGATAACCTGGAGGAAAGCTTAGGGTCCTTGAAATAGAAACAGCAGGGTGATCCTTTTACATCTGCCTGAATCATAGAATGGAACGAATCTATAATTAATAACATAACCCCAAAATGGTTTGATGATCCAGAAATAAATACCAGAATTGTAATTAAGTAATTCATTAATTTAGGCAAATATGGCAGTCAATCTGTGCCAACAATATCTGATGAATTACAAGTGAAATTAAAATTTAAAATGAGTAAACGTATTTTCTAATATAGAAGACTAAAATAATATTAATATATTTTTCTTCCATATTTGTGCCTTATGATGTGGAACCATTGCTAAATAAATGATTACTTCAGGTTTTCACTTCCCTACCTTTGGAGATCAAGAAATAACTTCAGAAAAATTACTGAGGAGATTAATTTGGATAGTGACCGTAAGATTGGGCAGATTGTACAAGATCTTTAAAGGGAATGGTTAGATGATCTGATAAGCTTTTCTCATGCCACAATTTCTTATGTTTAACTCTTGAGCATTGGTGGCTGAGTAACTGCTTTGAAAAATACAATTTGCTCTGTGATGAGTATGATGGTTTTGCAATTTGACTATTGTTGCAAAGTAAAAGTAATTCTTCTTAGAAACTGTGTTTGCTTTGTGGCCTTCAATAAATTCTGACTCCAAACAGCTATGATTTTCTGTTTATTTTGTGCCAGACATTTGGGTTGGAAAAGTGTTCAGTAGGAAAGTGGCAGCAATCGTGGCATGTCACACTGAAACGTGTCCCTCTGGATACAAAATGTATGCTCTCCACAAGCCCCCTTGTACATTGCACTGACCCACACAAACTTAGCTCTTAGGCTGAGATCAACTCAGCGCTGACTTCTCACAAGTCAGGGTACATAGGTTGCCTGGGGGTGATTATTTACTGAGGAGGTTTTTCTGCTATTTATGCTATTGTTTTCTCATAGAGTGGTTTTCAGGCACGTCTTTGAAGCAGAGTGAAATGGACGTGTACAGTGAAAGCTTTTCTGAATTGAGTGGCCTTTAAATAAACTGTACTGTGCTAACCAATTTTTAATTTGAGTTCAGTTCCCACCGCTGAGTGAATTTCTTCACAGTGAATATTCTGAATATTTCAAAACTATAAAAATAACTAATATTCAGATAGCATCTTTCATGTGAAAATAAATGTCTTTAAAGAGTGCTTTAAAAAATATAACTGATTAGAAATGTAAGTGATTGAATGTTATATATAATACCCTAAGTGCTTTGATTTCCCCCTCCCCCCTCTCCCCCGCAGTCTTCCATCCGGTGGAGTGCTCACACTGTCGTAGTGACAGTATGATGGGTTTCCGGTATCGTTGCCAACAGTGCCACAACTACCAACTCTGCCAGACCTGCTTCTGGCGTGGTTATGCCAGTGGCTCCCATAGCAACCAGCACCAAATGAAGGAGCACTCCTCTTGGGTAAGTGAAAGAATACACTAGGTGATTGTAAGAGCATACACTCCAAGTGTCATTCTTATGGTTTTTGTGCAGCTACCCTTTGCAGGCATGACACACTTGAGGTTGGCCTGGTCTAGATCCAGCTCTTCACTGGTTTTCTCTTACCTCCCCAAATTCTAGTAGGATCTGACCCACAGTACAATACAGTTTACAGTTTATGTTGCATCATAATGCATCATTCATTTCCTAAAGAGCAGGCACCTGAGCTGGGGTTGGATGCTGAGGGAGGTGGAGGGGGGGAACGATGACTGAAAGCGCAGGATAGAGGTTCATTTTGAAATGTGCCTTGAATGAGGAGAGGGAGGGAGTCGGAAGGACTCAAGGATGGAATTCCAGAGAATGGTGGCAGAATGTTTGAAATCATGCCTGCCGATGGTGAAGCAGATAGGGCAGGGAACTTGAAGCAGGCCGGTGCTCATTGAGCGAAGGGAGTGGTAGAGTCAGTGGATACAGACCGTGGAGACCATATAGCTGTTTTTTTTCATGTAATGGTCTTTGACATGATCGAATTCTATCAATTAGAACTGCATTTTAGCGTGTAAAGAAAAGCTCAGATTTCAAGCTCATCAGAGTCCCAACAACTAGCCTACTCACAAATGTATCTGTGTACAAATAGATGCTTTCACAGGGTTATTATGTAGGGCAGAAAAGGACCTTAAATTTGACATAGTACTTTATCATGTTGCTGAACTTCTCAAAGCTCTTTATAGGATATAGTGCCGATGTTTGTCTGCTGACTGTTTGTGGGACATTGCTGTGCACAACTTGACTGCCACGCTTGCCCACAAAACACATGGTCCTTCCTGTGAAGTGCTTTGGGACACCCTCTCAATGTGAAACCAGTGTACCAAATCAATGATTATTATTATGTATTTGTAAGTGGATGCAGCAGAGAATGTGCACACAGCAATGTCCCACAGAAACAATGACGTAAATGACCAATGTTCACCTACAAAGCACAGGATATTCCTGTGAAGCGCTTCTGAACATCTCAACGATGTGATAATTTCTACATCAAATGCAAGGATTCTTATGTATTTTATCTAGAGGATTGTTGGCCAAGACACTGGGAGAAATTTACTTCACTTTTCAAGTAGCGCCATGTAATCACTAACGTTCACCTGAATAGAATGACACACCTTAATTTAATGTCTGATTTAATTGACAATGGAGTGTCAACCTGGACTATGAGCAAAATCCAGACATGGAACTTGAACCCACAACCTGAATCAGAGGCAAGATTGCTACCAATGGAGCCAGGCTGCTCTCATATTATCTCTAATAAATGACTTTCCATCCCCTAAAATTGCACATGCTGCACTACTGTATAAAGATGATTTTCAGGCGCATGTGAAGCTCTGCTCTCAATTACTAATAGCAGATTGAATTTAATTGAAGTTCACTAAGCTATGACTTAAAGGACACTGAGTGCGGAAAGCTTTTTTTTGTTTTTCTTCCAAGTTTAAATTGCCTTAAAATATTGGTATTAAGTTTCCTCACAATTCACTTGCTTTATCAGGAACAAATTAACATTTGTGTGGGTCAGCATGTAAAATGTCTAATCCCTTGTGTTGCTGGCCAAAAAACCAAGAGTTCTCTAAATTGGCACTTTTTTTTGTTGGATAATCTACTGTTATTTCTTTAAAACGTTTCATAATAAATGGAAAAAATACTGCTTCCTAAAAGCATTGCAAAGTGTAATTTCCTTTACTGTTTTCTGCATGAGTGAATTAGCTGGATATGGAAAACAAGCCTTATTTATATAAAAATTATTCTGAGTATTATGTGGTACCATAAAAAATACAATCTTCTTGTTTGAACTGTTAACATCTGAAGAGCATCTGTTCAGTTACCATTACGCAAAATTGTCCTTCAAGAGAAATTAAGAAATAGATCCATAGTCATGCCAGACTTGTCTGCCTGATAGCCAGCTAAGCTATGACCACTCAACCCAGCCTTGGAGAGAGAGCAGAGAAAGTAGGTTAAAATTAGACAGATCATATACCATAAACAGCTTGTAAGTTGATGGTGGAAATGTATTTTTGAACAAAATGTTTTTAACCAATGTTAGTGTGGGACTTCCAGTGTTTAAAGGTTAGGCGGTGCACTGGAGCATCTAAGTTTGTGAAGAAAATTGATTTTGAAAAATAATAATAATCCTTCCATTTGATAGAGCGGATTATCACATCATGGAGACAATTGCACACAGCAGTGTCCCACAAACAGTCGTGGATTGAATGTCCAAATTATTAATTTATTTATTGGAAGGAATTCCTGGATAAGCGATCCACCAATGTCTCAAATTGGGTTCATACTCATTGCTAGGTAAACGGAGGAGTGTGGGCTAAGGAAACTTTCCTAAGGTTTCACCATGCCTGGGAATTGAACCCAGGTCCTCTCACTTGCAAGGTGAGCATGCGTGCAACCACTACGCTACAGGACTCCATAATATCAATGTCCAAGTATTTATAGGGCAACAAGATGGAAATCGTCCAAAAACACTCAAATGAAGGGTAGAAGTTACACTGCATCAAATGATTGAAATGTTTCTGCAGCTCATTGAATCTGAGGGCAGTCCCTGAGGACTGGAGAATGAATGGCTGGTGTTGGTACAGTTTTTAAATAGAGTCAGAAGTGTGACTCTGGAAATTAATAAGTTTCTTAACAATTCAGGCACATTTGACAAAAGTCAAGGCAATAAGTTTAAGCCTAATTAGGCTTTTTTTATGGCAAGTTATGCCTAGCCAATTTACTGGACTTTTAGATAGTGACACAATTGCTGATCAGTTTGGGAATTACTCCAAAAAGGATAAAGTGATATTTTGGATGTGATCATATAATCAATGTGATGCTTTATTAAGCAATACTAAGTTAGTGCCGAAAGTTATACAGTTTGATGAAATAATTGGACCTGCTGAGCACAGTTGGAGTTTCAGCCAGTTTGGTTTAGTGTCCATTTCGGATAAATGGTATTTCAACAAGCACTATCCTATTGTTTATTCATCTCTCAGAAGCTATTTGACAAGCTACTCAGACAATTGATTTGTGACCAAAGGGAAACAAACCTGTTAGGATTAGGGGGATGTAGGATTGAGGGGATGTGGAGTATACTGTAGTCTAGTGGTTAGAGCACTCACCTTGCAAGCGAGAGGACCTGGGTTTGATTCCTGGGCAGGCCAAAAGGTTGGACAAATTTCCTTACTGCACGCCCCCTGTTTACCTAGCAGTAAGTAGGAATCTGGTTGTTAGTTGTAAGTAGGAACCTGGTTGGCAGATCACTTTTCCAGGGGTAATAATCCCTTAAAAAATTTTGAAAAATAATAATTTGATCTCTTGATCCACACTGTTTCTGAGAAACTGCTGTGAGTAATTGGCTGCTGCATTTTGCCCACAAAATATACAGTTAATTCACTTTACAGTATATTCTGTGAAGCGCTTCGAGATGTCTCGAAGACATGATAAGGCACTAAATCAAATGCAAGGTTTATTATATTATTATAGTATAGATTAGCAAAGAATGTGATCAATGGTACTCATATTAATTCAGCCTGTAACTCATGAGTCTGGATAAATGAGATGTGGGAGTTGGTCACACACTTAAGGTAAAGGCACAGGGTGAGGCAACAGCTGCAAAGCAAAACAACATATTGGGTAAATGAACACAAGTTCAAAGCATTGAAACCAAAATTCAATTGGGCATTAGCAAATCTAAATACAGTTAGTGTTTTATTCATTTTTGATTCTTCTGCTGGGTTTTACATTAATGCTGTGGAAAGAGATGAAAGAAGCTCAAAGCTTTTTTTCTTGGCAGTAAAGCAGTGCCCCGAACAGATGTGGACCAGCAAAGCATTTTTCTATTAAGAAAACTCCAATCTTGAAACAAATTTAACTACTCTCATTGAAGGCCCAATATTCAGCAAACGTAATTGAAGTTATCACCATTGGAGAGAGGGGAGGTGACTGGGAGAAAGGGAGAAATCTAATAACTTGATTTCTATAGAGCTTTAGTATATCAAAATGTTTTGAAGCACTTTATAGTATTTATTGTCAAATCTACAAAATGTTTTTTCTAGGCAAGGCCCCACAAACAGCGATGCGATGTATAACATAAAATAAGATATAGGATCAGGAGGAGGCCATTCAGCCCTTCGAGCCTGTTGACCATTTAATTAGATCATTGCTGATCTGTACCTCAACTAATCCTTTCAATTCCAATTTCCTGCCTTTCTCCCCATCCCTTAATACCCTGACCTATCAAAAATCTATCAACCTCACTCTTGAAGGTGTGGATGGATCCAGCATCCACGGCCTTTTGGGGGAGAGAAATACGGATTTCTACCACCCTTTGAGTGAAAAAATGCTTCCTGATTTCACTCTTAAATGGCCTGGTTCTAATTTTAAGAATATGCCCCTTGTTTTGGATTCCACCAGTGGAAATAGCTTCTCTGTATCTACCCTAACAAATCCCTTTATCTTCTTAAAGACCTCAATCAAATCACCCCTCAACCTTCTAAACGCAAGGGAATACAATCCAAGTTTACGCAGCCTTTCCTCGTAACTTAGCCCTTTTAGGCCTGGTACCATTCTGGTGAACCTGCGCTGCGCCCCCTCCAGGGCTAATATATCTTTCCTGAGGTGTGGTGTCCAAAACTGAACGCAGTGCTCCAGATGGGAGCTAATGCTCTATGCAGCTGAAGCATCATTTCCTCCCCTTTGTATTCCAGGTCCCTTCAGGTAAAGGCCAACATTACATTCGCCTTTTTGATTAACTTTTACACCTGGGAGCTAGTTTTTAGTGATTTGTGGATATGGACACCCAAATCCCTTTGCTCCTCCACAGTTCTTAATTTCTCCCCACTAAGAAAATATTCTGCTTTGAACAAGTCAGCTATTTCCTTATTTTCTGTTTTTTCTCACCTACATCTGTCTTTAACAGACCCACATTCCCCTTGACCATTCTC